GCTCGACTGTACTTGGATCGAAGGTTTCCTGATTGATGGACAGGTAGAGGTTTCCACGCCCTCTTGATCTGAACCCTCTCGATTTCTACTTGTGCGGCCGTTTAAAAACTGTTGTATTCGTCTCCGGTGCCTGATTTGCAATCTCTTCGGAATCGAATTGTGGCATCTTGCAAAGACATATGCAATACTCCTGGAGATCATCAAGAGACGTCAATGACACATCGGTGCGATCTGTATTTAATCATGAGGTGATCATTTTAAATATCTTTTGTAATCAACGAACAGCGGAAAGAAAAACGTTCCATTGTATTTGATAATTGTGCAGACCATAACTCAGAAATGAAGCATTTCCGGAGATATGTTATACTGAACCATTTTGATTGTCTACATATGGGTAATACATACCTGAAATTATGCCTCCTCATTTTGAAACATCCTCTGTACTAATAAGCACTATCTCCTGATAGTGCTTATGTAGGTGATATCGGTGCTTCACGAATAACAAAAAAAGATCTGCACCACATATTAATTAATAACTGTTCCTCAGACGGTATTACGTACGTACTTAATAAACCAAGTTCAACATGAAATTGAAGATTGTGTAGGCCAACTAAATGAAGAGAACAGCTTAAAGTAGCAAGAAATATTGGATATTAAAGCCTCTCTTCGGCAAGTTAATAACGATACTTTAATAATAATAATAATAATAATAATAATAATAATAATAATAATAATAATAATAATAATAATTGAAATGAAATATTTACGTATAAAAATATATTAAAGCAGAAGCAGTCTAGAATTCTTGGTGTTCTCACTGCACAGCTGGTGATGTATCTTCAACAAATATGTGAGTCCTAAGCCCAAAATGTCGTACCCAAAAGACAGTAAAGTGTCTCGTACTCGTGGAAAGAAGGAAAAAGGACTCAAATTAAGGATGCATTCTATTGGGCCTAATTAAATAAGCACTTCAACAATCAGTATTAAATCAGTATTAAAACAGCATGAAAGCTAGTGTTCATTGACATAAATCAAAGGCAGCGTATTCGTTAGGGTCATCACACGCTTACAACTTTCGTACCCATGCATACTAACAAGTTTCATAATATCGTACTGTTCAGGTCATAAAGTTGTAAATAAAATATGATGTTGATTGCTTCAAGTTTGATCATATGAGACAGGAAAAATTCGATTAAGTAAATGATTATACAATTCTATTACAAACGATCTGCAAAACATTCTAGGAATTATTTTTTTTACAAACGCAGTTTTTTCTTTATTGATTTTTGAATAACAAAACTTAGTTAATGTTCATATTTAGTTATATAAAATATATAAAAAATATTAATAAGATCGCTGGTGAGGTATATACTTTCTAAAAATAAAATAAACAAAAAGTATTGTCCGGTATCAAAAAAATATTTAAGCCTACGATCTTTTTAATAGCGTTGTTATCATCATCAGAGCTATCTTGCAGCGTCCGGGAGGAAAATAAAGTTCTGCAAAACTTACATGAAGACGAACAATACTTTTTTATTTATTTAATATAAAATTTTGTTAATTTTTCATACATTTCCAGATTTGATAATCTTCAATATAAAACTTGCATGCTATTACAATAGAGGAAGAAATCTCACTTCGAGTTCTCATTCTGGATTTAAATCAACAAATTTCTTCAGAAATATGTGGTATGACTCTTAGTTTCGGATGCTTGTTTGGTAAGTGTTTTTTTTTTGTAAGTTTGAAACGTGATTTGGATCTGAATTCTGGGATTTGAAGTAGATTATAATAAAAGCTGGTTGCCAGATATGTAATGTATTGATCAATGGGTTCCAAGTTAAATTCGTTGTGGAATTGGATGTTGGTTATGTACCAAGAAGCGTTAACAACAGTTCTTAAGAATTTATTTTGTTTGACTTGAAGTTTGTTGAGGTTCGTTTCAGAAGAATGAATCTAAATTGGGCTGGCGAACAAAATTTATGGGTCTTACCATTTTCTTGCAAATTGTTATGGAAGATGGATTGGGCTGCTTTTGTAAATTAATGGTCGTAGTTTTATAAGTTTTATTTTAGTTTGGTGGCTTTAGCATTTATAGGTTTTCCCTAATTTAACAATGCATCGAAGTGTAAACCTTAGTATTTTACAGGTTTTTTAGGGGAGACCATTCTATTTTATTGTTATTTAAAGGGAAGAAAGATGGGGAAAGTAGGGTTTTCAGTTTTTAAAGCGTCGGTTTGGTTAGGATTATATTGAATTTCACGTTTTTACAGCACGGATGTAGATCAGATTTATCTTAACTTGATATGATTTGTGATATTATTTTTTGAAAAAAGAAGTGTACTCTGAGATTCTAAATAATGTACTTGTACGTTGCGTTGAGATTCTTTCAGTGAAATTGAACTGTACCCTCTGAACGGCATTCGATGCATATCTATGATTTTTCTTTTTAAAATGATATTTTCGAGTATTTTGAAAGAGTTATTAATAAATTTATTGGGCAGTAAGTATGAACGTTTGTTGGGTTTTAATGATAATAAGATAGTTTGCAATATAGTATCATGTTCCGGGTGGACACTCGTGTTCTCAGTGAATGTGATTTCAAAATGATTGGCCACAGCTGCAGCCACTCTGCCTTTTGAACCAGGCTTTACTAACGGATGTATTTAATGGAGGGACAGTGTGTTTTCTTGAGATTTTTTGTGAATATCCAATGTGTTTTTGTGTTATTACTTGTGTTAAAAGATTGTATGAGGTAATAATATTATTCTTTGTGTTTTTAATATGCTTTTTGACAATATTAGTGATGAAATTGAGTTCTTTCTTTAGTTCACGAGTTCTTAGATAAGCCCAGAATATTTTTCGTTTTCTTTTGTTTTGATTTTTACAGTTAACGCATTTGAGATGCCCGTTGGTAATATATTGAGGAGTTTGGGGTTGTGTTAAAAATGGAGGTCAGTTCAGAATTTATGATAATTGCGTTAATTAGAAAAGTAATGGATTGATCTATTTGAAGGGAATTATTTAATATTCGGGGACGTGTAAATGTTTGTAACTATTGTGGAGTATTGTAAACATTGTTTCCGGGCATTTCCTCTACGTAATTTACATGTGTTCGGTTTTAGTATAGGAACGACGGCAGGAGCGACGTTTGCTTCGATGTAAATACAACTAGAATATGCTCAGAGTCGAGTTGGAATATTGTCGGTAGGTGGAAGTCAATGTTTGTGTTGGTTAAGCCAACATCAAGTATGCCAGGCTTGCGCAAAACAGTCCAATTAATAAGCGGGTTCGCAAAGGAGACAATTTTAAGAATGATAAATGCCGACAAAATAGAAATTTTAGAAATTTCTTGAAAAGGCTATTTAGCTTTTCATCTCTTTAGCAAAGACGAGAAACCGGAATTATTAATGATATTGTTGAGGGAGATGATATGCTGTGTGATAAATATGGTTATGAGGGCAAGGAAGAAATCTTACATCTTTATATCCTTCCCATCCTTCCCAATGTCCGTGGTGGCTTACCATTGTTTTTTCGGGATGGCTAATAAAAGGGGTGAGCGCAGGTGAATGATTATTAGAGATACAATATTACAAATTCAGATATGATTCGTAATGTCATGACAACCAGCCATGGACCAATCACACGCTGAAGCCCATGCCTTACACAGCACTCGAACTCGTAAACCTCGCCTCTGCAGGTTTAGACGTAGCTGCGTCCTGCGCCATCGAAGCATTCATTTTAATATTACGGCGGAGTGTAATCAATGGACGGCGATGTGGAAATAATTCAGTGAGATAGAAGGTATAAAATTATCCTCCACCCCACAATTACGGGACAAACATTCTAGCTTTCAAGGTAATTCAAGCTGTTCACTCCAATTTCGAACTGTAAAACTACTCAACCCTTCTCTCCCTCATTTACGTTTGCAACTGTAACATTAATTGTGCAGGCAAAATGCTGCTGGATTTCGTATTACCTAAAACAGCTAATTTACTAAAAAAATGGGGCGTTAATAACAGATTTTTTTTTCTGAAGCTTATTCTCTTCTTCTACTGTTTCCCTCACTTTCTCCTCAACAGTATATTTTTCATATATTCATAGATATTTCTGTTGTAAAGGCATCTTCATTCTCCCTTGAGTGATTCTCTCTTCTCAATGGAATATCACACTCGTAGTCATACGCATATGCTAATTTCAGCAGCCGTTGCTAAACGCTCTCGTATAGTGGCTGTGCGATCGCATAATTTGCATGCATACTATTTGCATCAACGCACATCTGTGATTCCAGTTATTCAAGGATAATACGAGGAGAGAGCGCGGACGAGGCCACGAGTATTGGGATGGCCGCAACAGGTCGCTTTCATCGGACAGGGTCTCCATTACAAGTTTTTTTTTTGGATACATTTTTTTGTTTACGAGTCTAATTCTTCAAGTGTTTGCTTTTTTTAAAATAAATTAAGGAATCCATTTTTGTAGCAATACTACAGTTCTGTATAGTGAGAACTGGACCCTTCATCAATTTTCAATTGTAATGTTACGGAAAAATAATTATTATCCATTTCGTTCCTTCATTTCATTTTTTTGTTTCATTTTTATTTTATTTATTTATAAGATTACCATAATGTAACTTAAGTCTATTACAAGAGCGGAACGTATAAAAGAATTCAGGAGCTCGGAAAACGTGCACAAATAATCTCTGATACGGTCTTCATGCTCTCGCCTTACACTCCAAATCTGCTAGTTCTACAGGAGACATTCTTGACTACCTTTATTTTCAAGCAAATTCCCAAATTTGTCTCATTCTTTCGTCTTATGTATAGCGCAAAAAGGCTGTCCATAACAATGTCTTTTGGGATTTGTCATTGGCAGAATTCTATCATTATGTCTAGGAGGAAACAACTATCGTTCATGTTTTACAGCTACCACATTCAATGATTTCATTTGCTCTCCCAAAAGTTTAAATAAAGTTATCAACTGGAACCTGAGTTTTTTATTTGAAAAGTGTCGATGAGTCTATCAACCTTGTTTTGGAACTTGCAGCTTTTGGGAAGTTGCAACAAAAGCAACCAGAATCAATTTGCATAAAATTCAACACTTTTCTGGGCTATTGTTAAACATCAATGAATTTCTTCACTCAGATAACATTATCCCACTCCAAACAATTATTTATGATATAATTATGGATCACTTACATTTCATTATCCCACTCCAAACAATTATTGATGATATAATTATGGATCACTTACATTTCCTTGGACTGTATTAGATTCAATTGCGTGACGTGATGCAAAATAAGTTCTTCGTGTTTTACATCACAAAACGCATTGTCTAATACAGCAGTTATTCAGTCTCTTGAAAATATCTCTTTCACTCTGCCCTGGAACAAAAAATGTAAATTGAGGATGGAATGAATTAGGCTATTGAAGTTAGTCTAGATTGCTTCTAAGGCGTTAGTGAAGAGGCGTATTAAGTTTTCGTGTAAGTGCCATTCTCATAACATTTTTATTAATATTAATGCGTGTATTACTAACATTAGTGACGATATTTAGAGAGGCAATTTGTGCCAGTGTTTGAGTAGAAGAGTATCTTTCTTTTACTGATTATGACCGTAGTGTTTTAAAAAAAATCAATAAAAAGTATGCCGTAAAATGTAGGAAACCACTGATAAACAGAGAAAAATAATAAACAGGGCACATAATTATAGTTTGTCGCTATATCCAATATATAAAGTGGTAGAAAGATAACGTCCACGTAATTATTGACAGGTTTGGAAAGAGAAATTTGGTGAAATATTTGGAAGAGGGTGTTATAATTAAATACTATGGGGAGAAAACAGAAAGTTGACAAATAACTCCACAAGAAGGTTCGAAAAAATTGAGATCGACTAAAAACTGATTTCAAACTTAATAATAAGTCATCCACTATTCAAATGTTTTTGAGTAGTAATGACTGTCACTGTACAAATGTCAGGCAAAAATAATTCATTAATCAAGTAAATAGGATAAAACTTTGTGAAATATGTTTATCATTATAAAAACTGTTTTATAAAATTCTGAAATGCACTTTTATTTTCTAATGAAGAAAAATACACGATTTTTCAAGAACACCATACGAAAGTTTGTATAACAGAGAAGAAAGAACTGGAGAGAAAGTGTATTCCTTCAAAGAAGCTTAGATCTGCTGAGTTATTAGATGAAACTATATATAATAAACATATTATCAATGTTATGACAAATCTTGAATCCAGCGTTGAAAAATTGGGACTTATAAGCAGTTATAATTTCATGCAAGATAAGGATCAAATGCACTCAAGCCTTAATTCTAAATTTATATAATAATCCAAAATTCATTATCAAACCTTTACAGCCCGCAAATATCAAATAAAACAGTATTTATTGATAAACGTGAGTAAACTCTCTTTTCAAAGAAATATCTAAATATTACTGCATTTTATAAAAATGGAAGAAGATGAACCGAAAAACACCATTAAATGTGTTCGTTATAATATACTTACAATAACCGAGACCTTTCATCAAGTTAATATTTAAGGTAAACTAAATATTTAACAGCAGTACAATTAATAAAATTAAACAAACCAAATGTACGAATACGTTTTACGCATTTTAATTTCACAATTAAATTATTTAAACTAGTGGTGTTAAAATAGCACGTACGTTCTTGCCAAAAATTCCATTTATACCACAAATTCTCTCCGAATTATTGTTTGCAAAACTCATTTCAAATCGTAGAACATTTGGTGTGAAAAATAAACAGAATGTAAGAAAGTAAAATACTTAAAAGTTAATAAATAATACGATAATGTTGGCGTTGGAAAACAAATAGATCGAAAAATATATAACAGTAGTCATTAAACACTATGGTATTGTTAATATTCCACAAATATATAAAAATATTTATTTTTGCTTCCGCGAACTAAACCAGCCGTCGTTATCGTGTTATCTGTAGGGCGCGGCGTTACGACAATGGGTAACAACAATAAACAATGACCGCTCATCTACTCGTTTTCACACTCAACACAATTAAAGGACGCAATTTAAAACGATATAAAATAAATATATAATAAATACTAATAAAATGATGCATGAAATAATATATAAATTCTCACTTACGTAGAATCCAACTGCGTAAATTTGGAGCGGATGACTTAAAGCTGCCAGTTTTTATTTTAAATACATTTTAAATAGTTTCTAAAAGTTTAATTTGTAAATGCCGATCCGGTAGATCGCTAAGGCAGTACCGAAGGATCGCGGGTTCGGGTTCCACCTCGGGCATGGTTGTATTATGTTCCTTTCACCCCCAATCATCATATCGTGTAAAGCTCACAGTTACAATACCATTACAAGCAATAGTGATCGCTAATGACCTAGAAGTTGATAGATCTTCAATTAAAAAAATATAAAGTATAACAAAAGCTCCAATGTAAGAAACGAACAATGAAATATTAAACACTATACACATTCTAATTTACGTAATATCTTACTGTCTCAAAACACCTAAAATTACGATCAAGAAGCGTAATATTTTCAGAGCAGACGACTAACTTCGACGCCCAATTACTCAAAAAAACTCATAGTTACGAAAAATTTAACATGATCCTATTTGAAAATCTCTTTTTGATGAACATATTTCATTAAGGAAAAATTTTATTTTCATAATTGTAGCTGTAGGAAGACATCGAACATTTTTTGAATTTTTTCAATTGCCGAAAAATCATTGTATTCAACCAACATGAGACCAGCGCCATTTTCATAAATCTTCTTCAGCCTATGCAACAACAAAAATCATAAAAAATGATGGAGCCATTTTTGAGAAAAAAATGTTTAAACAAAAATCTAAAATTTCGTGTATTTCACACAACATTACGCGAAAAATTCTCAAATTTTCGAAAAATTGTCCGTGACCTTATTTTAAAATCTATTTTTAAGGAACAGATTTCATTATGGAAAAAAATCTTTATATTTAATATTTCATTTGTAGAAAGACGCCGAAACAAATTTGAATTTTTCAATTTTTGAAAAATTAGAGTTTTTAATCAACATCAGACCAGCGCTAATGTTAAATGTTCTTCAAACTATTCAACAACAAAATTTTATCAATATGAATGGTGCCATTTTTTTAAAAATATTGAAAATGTCCCAGGTGTTTTATATAAAATACCCTCCGCCAAACTTCAAATACCGGTTTCAAATTCAAGGAGCCGCGACATCAGTCAGATCGATTGACGAATATCAGTTTTGGAGAAAATCGTCTGAACGTTTTAGCCGTTAATGTTGTTCGCAAACGGAAAGACGTTTTGCCGTCAATCGATTCTTCGGTATCAAGGATCCTCAAAACGGAGATAGTGGCTGCATCACGTGTTAGAGTTTTTTTCCTTCTAAATTTAGCAACTGGATTTACCCACTTTTACGTTACCAGAACCCTGTAATATGAGTTTTCTGTTGAAAATTCGCCGTTTTTCGCGCAGCATTACATGCCTTTCTCTTTTTAAGAAGTTCTTTCTTAAGCACGAAAAAAACAAAATAAGATTTAATATACCCTACGGCTAAATGCAGGTATATGAATGGCAAATTCTTTCTCTGTTTTTCATTTCTGTTTGGTTTTATTACATTATTCTGGATTTTGTTCTATGAAGCAATTAACAAGTCCCTATGCAGTTTATCTATTCTAGTAAAATCTATTTTTAGATTTTTTTATATCACTCTTACGAACTAACAGCTGTTTTAAGTGACATGAATCTTTGTTCCTAACTTCAACGTAGTAAATTAACGCAATTATTGCACTCTTAAAGTTTTTTTACTTTCTCGCGTTACTTCATAAAATGAAAAAGTATTGTAACCGGGCGCCGGAAACAGCGATTTTTCGACCGTAAACCCTAATTGCCGGGTACCCTGCAACGATAGTAATTTGGTCCTGTAAGCACTGGCATTAGTTTGATACATGTTGCAATATGTGAATAGTCGAGTGTCATTAGGAGAGGTTGTTTGACAGCTCCAGGTTGTGAGCTGGGGTTGAGATGAAGGAAGAGAAAAGCACAGATAGATTTATTGAGATCTTTTGGAATGTTAGGAGGCTTCTTAATAATGATTATAGTGATACCAGTATCGACTCCTGAACTTTGCGACAGAAAAATTGCAGTGTTTTCTAGCACAGGTGTGATGAATGGTGGTAAAAGGTTATGTTTGATGAGCTTATGGATGGGGATTGTCACTCCACCAACACCTCTGATCAATGATCTGTCCGAACTGCAAATATTAAATCCTGGAATTCAAAACTTTTCCAAAGGCTGGAAACTCATTTCTGTTAATATTGCTATGTCCGTTTTATATTTGTGTAAAATATGTTATAGAAATAGTCTTTTGTTTATTATGCTCTCTTTGTATTCAAACTGAGTAAGTTGAAATTATGGAAATTGATGTACGCCATTGAAGACGAGTGGAATTAGAAGTGTTTCAATTAGAATCTGAATCTAGGTTAATAAAGAAGAAATATTTTGGTCGACTGTGTTCGTAATGAACTAGTTTTCATGACTCTGGTTCACGAAGGTGTTACCGAAGCTTGGAGGTGGGGATCTGGAAATGGAGAGAATTTCATTGTGGACGTTGTATATGGGCACTGTTGCGAGGGGTCGGAGTGGAAGATTTTGGAATGGAGTGTACGATGCAATTATTTGAGATAACGAATGTTGTGGTAAATCATTAGGTTTATTGAAGTTGGGTGAGGACTTTCGGAATTTGTTGAATGAAGCTTGCCTTTCCTGGAAGTAGAAGCCGTTTTTGTCGAACGCTGCACGATTTCCTCCGCAGTGTGAGCAAATTAATAATACATTAGGAGCAAGGGTGCAAATGATGGATGTATGAGTGTTACTCTATTTCACCCATTTAGGTTGCATTTTGCAGTAATTGCGGTTGCTATTTAAGTCTAGAAAATGTTTACATTGTGTCACCGTTCGGTTCTTTTCTAGGTTCAACCCTTACAACTCAATGTAGTATAAATTTCAGTTTGAAAAGTTTTCCGAAGTCACTATCTGATGTGATTCCTACCACGCACATCGGCATGAAAGGACTTATCTGTTTTGTGTATTCAAGCGGTTTAGCTTCGCTACTTGATTATTGAACATCCTGATCGGGGAAGCACTACATCAAAAGCAACTGCCGCGAGATTTAAAAACTAAGGATTGCTCCAGCCTGGTAGTACATAACTGGGTACCTGGCCCATGGTCATTTAGAGAAGTCAGTTGACAACTACGGGTATTAATTCTCATTTCCTGCACAAAAGCAATGAAATGATCCACTAAAATGAAATATATCAGTCATAAGTTAAATTGTCATGTGAGTAAAATTAAACATTTTGAATCGAACGGATCTTGATTTCGTAATCGGATTACGTAGAAGGATGCAAGAATTGCATTAACTTTCTACAGTCACGTTAGGAAATATAACAGACAGATATCCTTATGTCCTAGGTCTTGATCGCGAAGACCTGCCCGCTATAGAATAGATATACCGCTCGTAACAGAGTTGTTAATTTATTTAATATTATTGCCACATGGAACAAATAACAGAACAATTTAACAAATATAACACAAAATAAAAAGAAGCAAAAATTCGCCATTCAAACAAATGCATGTCATTGGACAAATATGTTTATACAAGGCAAAATTTAAAAATAAAATAAGCATGCAAATGTTATAAGAAGTAAATAAATAAACCATTCAAAAAGCGTTTGTTTGATAGAAAACCTAAGGCAAACATACTTTCGTATAAAGCAACTATCGCATGCGATCTTTCCTTCCTGTTCCTTGTCATATCCTCACCCCTTACTTACATACACTTACACCCACACACACTATACTATTGCTTAAGCCGACGTTAGTCAGCGCCAGATTTCGCCATCGAAGGGTCGAAGATCACCGCCAACTCTCGCGATAAAAACATGCACTACACATACGTGATTAAGGACCTTAGCAGTTTACGCGCCTAGAATCACGACTTAGTCAATAAAGCAAACCATCTTCGTGGTATTTAGAGCGCGCTTTGTACTTAGCTTCCATGCTACAGTTTGTGAGTGTGCACATCTTGTTGGATTTGGTAGGGAAAATGAGAATAGAGTCAGGGGAAGCTGCCCGTGGTCGCAGGAGTACAGGGTTTAGCAGGCGGGAAAGTACCTTCTGGGGACGCATTTTGACATGCATGATGCAGAGGTGCGATTGTGTTTATCTAAGTAACTAATGTGTAACCGTTTTACATTCTCTAATATCTGCATATTTAACGTAAGTGCAGAGATTCATTCATTCATTTCTCCAAAATAGAGAAGCTTATGAAAAATGGAATTCAAGAAAACATTTTAGTTTTCTTAGCAGTTATTTTGTATACAAAGAAGTAGATTGGAAAAAAAGGTACACAGTATATTTTCAAAATGACGTCTTCTTGACGTACTCTAGCGTGCAATAAGGCAACAGGAAGGACTACCCGCTTCTTGCAGGTGCAAAAGTAATCAGGAAAGTCCCGATCGCTTGACGGCCTCGGGATCCGACCCTGGTCCTGGTCGTGGAGAGAATGCATTAATCCAGCAATTACCCCGTCGTCGTCCAAACGAAGGTTTCCATTTATTGTTAAAGGATGAGCGGAACTTGGAGAAACATATTTTGTTAGGGCCATAACATTATCGATTCACTTTGGCGGCGATATCGAATGTCAACATTCTCAATCGTCCGCTCCGGAGGACGAGTATTAAGCTTTGATTCGGTTGGAAACATGTTATGTAAATTTCTCACCTCCTGACTCTTTCTCACTGAGAACGTGAGGCTAGAAGCAGCCCTGATGCGTGCTCTTGACACTCGCACAAATATTTTCTCTGAGTCAGCGCGTGGGAGATGTTGACGCCATGTAACAAATAATTTGTGTGACCTACAGAGGCAATTTTCTTTCGAAGTCAATTTCTTCATTACGCAACACTGTATTTAATTGTTCAATCTACACGATAATAATACTGCTTAAAGGCTTCTGATTTGGGATGATCCATTATCTAAGATTGCGATATGTAAATAAATAACCCTTCATGGAAATAAAATCTTTTAATTTTATAAATAAGTGAAGTAAAATCAATATATCTGCAATTAAATAACCTAATATTAAACAACTTTTTAGGGCCCTCCGCATACAATTGTTTTAGTGAAAACTGCATCTAAACATCTCCAACAGTTCATGTAATATTTAGGGGAAACAAGTTAGGTAAGCCGTTCGGAATATTTTACGAATCCCTACTCTCGATTTGTAGAACACAGTCAATCTAACTCTTCTATTCATCACATTATTTTCAATAATATTATCGTATCTTGGTCCACGTTTTGGTAATTCATCACATCAAACACGTTTGATATGATTTCTCTCTGGTATATATTACTAATCCCTCACAAGTTCCTCCTTTCATATCGTAATTAGTACTAAGTTAGTAGACAAAAGAATCAAAATCTTAGCAACTGCTTCACCTTCCCTCCAATTTTTTCCTTTAATGTTTCCTTTTCAACACTTATCATTAAGTGTAACTATATGGCATTCATCCTTGACTAGCAGGCTTTCAATATTGCCATTCACTGACGTGCAGATGTAGGATGAGTAGCGAGTACGTTTTATCTAAATAAGGAATCGTGTAGTTTACAGTTTGAGAACCTGTAAATGAGTAGATAACACGCCTCGTCTTGCGTTTGAAGTGTTGCGTTTTGAAGGAACCTTAACTAGCTATTTAAGAACATGATCACGTCACAATACCAATGGACTAGAAGTAAGATATATTTCAAATATTGTGTTAGTTGAAACATAGACACAAAAAATGTCACTCAATATATCACAATTGTACTAACGTGGCTTAATAAAAATAAATTTTTAAAAGTACCCTTTAATACTTATATTCTTCTTTGGACATTACTAAGAAGTAATTAAATTACAATTAGACCTTTCTAAACAGCAAGAATAAAACAGATGCTAAGCACACCTCCTGGAAAATGGAAGGAAAATGTTACAATTGTAGGCATCGGAGGAAATGGCCTGGGGGAATGACTAAGTAAAAATACAAAGCAAACTACGGACAATGATCTTAGTTTGGAAGAGAAAGTAGAATGGGCATATTTCTTGTGTGTCAGAGAGTACTGTTTTTACAATTGCAAGAGATAATAGCTTGAAAATCTGAGTCCTGGAAGATCATTCATGTCCAGGACAGCGGGTTGGAGACCTGAAGAGAATGAAAAAGAAGATTACTTAATATTATGTGCTCCAATCCAATCGTGTTTCATTCCTGCCACTCTCGAATTACGACGACGCTACCCATTCTCAGAAAAAAGCAACACCATGTAAGATTTCTATCGTTTCAAAAAGGCAAGGATGCACAGCACTGTCATTTGCGATTCTTACTTTTAAATTTGTTAAACCCGTGACGTCGCAATATTCACATAAGAAATATCATTCCCGTTAATAACACTTGCATAATCGCAAGATTGACATAATACCGTTGCATTGCATGCTCATCTAATGTGATATTCATTGTCACATCAGCAGGTTTATCTATATCAAATGAGTGGTGCGACAACAGCACGCTCCTTCTCCCGTTATTTGAAACGGTTATGTAATATTAAAAAACTACTTCAAATCGCTAAAGTGTTTCCAAACCGCAAATACCTTTGCCTATGCAGAGATTCAAACTCTAGTTCAGTAAGCCATGAGCATTACTACATCATAAAAAAGTTTCAGTAGACATAATAAACTTTCTGACTTTTAAAACCTTAATATATTATTTGTCAGATTTTGATCGAGTTGCGCGAGGCCCTACGAAACGTGAACAGACACGTAACTGCCATTTAGCCTGCTTCACAAACATCCGCTCATCCTTGATTACGAGTATTTGATTTCCGAGAAACGGAGGAGGAGTGAGAAGCTTGATAATTGAACACTTGAATTAAAAAAGAACGTAAGTGCCATTTTTGTTAAATTTACGTTTTTACCAGAATATTTATGGATGAATCAAGCGCTATAACATAAATAAGAACCAAAGTCCACACATTTCTTGATGGTGGTACGGTGTAGTTATAAATAGCAGGAGTTGTATGTGCCAATAGGTTGAACGTATATATAAACTCATTTTTCTCGAAAGCATGAAAATGGCATTTACATCCACTTTTATTTCAAGGCTTTAATTCATGGTGAAGACCTGGTCCCAGAAGTTCATTATTAATTTGTTTTAGCTTTTTTTAACCGAGAAAAATTGAAGAAACATTATTTCGCAAACTTGCATCAGAAATGTTGGTTATCG